GGTTATCTGCAGAAGTTGTTGATTTGAGCCTTTCACAGCTCAGCTTAGTAACATGGCTTTACTTTATATTTTTTATATATTTATTTTTTATTGAGAAATAAATATGAATGAGACAGTTTCACAGCTGATTAATAGGACAGTTTTGATAGTCAATACACTGTACATTGTTATCTTCTTAGTGGTTATCCATAGTACAAGAAGCAGACAAGATATTCTGTCCAAACACTGTTAGTACACCTTTCTTCTCATTGAGTTAAGCGAAAGAAGCTGTATAGCTATCCTAACTATTTTGTATATATAAATACAAAATGATCTTTCCTTTGTATCCTTTTTTTTTGTCCTGTCAGAGGTGAATATTCTATTGGCATCTAAATACTATAGGTGTTTGAATTCAACTAAACCATCTAACACTGTCTAGCAGTCTATAATATTAGTGGGCTATCCTCAGAAGTTATTGACTTGAGTCTTTCACAGCTCATCATATTAATATGGATTTACTTTATATACCTTGTTCTTATACTTTTCTGCTGGATGATTAAGACCAAGATAAAACAAGACCTATATAACAAGAAATGTAACTTTTTTGTCTGATAAGGTCAGTCAAGTCAGTCAGTCAAGGTCAGATATCACTGTTGTTTTCATTTGCATTTCTTGAATGAACAATGATGCTGAACATTTTTTATGTATTTACTTGCCATTTGTATTTCTTCATCTGTTCTTTGACTTTGGAGAACCTGATTTTTAAAAAATTCTTTATATGCTCTAGACAGAAGGCCTTTTTCAGAGGGACAAATGGCTATAATTTTTCCCAGTTTGTGGGTTTTCTTTTGACTGTTGGAGATTTCCTTTGAAGTGCAGAAACTTATCAAAACAATGAGATTCCAGCTGTTGATTCTCTGGAGGATTTCCAATGATAGCCACAGTTTAAAGCAGGAGAGGCTTTGCTTGGCTCTGGCTTTAAGGGAATTCAGTCCATGGTTAATCGCTCTGAGGAAGAAAGGTTCATGCAGAATGGTGGATGGAGCAAAGCTGCTTAGTCAATGGCAACCAGGAAGCAAAGCCGGGAGTACAGCACCAGAGTAGACAGGGCCCAGGAGCAGGTCCAGCCCAAGCTCACCCTCCATGACACCCAGATACACTTGGAAGCGAGCTCCTCCAGCCTCAGGGTGGACTCCAAATGCAATTGGGTTGGTGCTCTACCCTAGTAACTGCTGTGGACAGAAACATGCAAACCATAACAGAGAGGATGGCCACAGCCCACACTCACTGAGTGCTTCCCACCACCAGTGTCTCTTCTCAGCAATTTGCACTGTCTCACTCACCCAATTAATGTAAAAACAAGTTCAGCAATGATCCCATTCTGTATATAGGAAAACTGAGGCGGGTCAATTAAGAAGTCACTTAGCTGGATGGCTATACATCCAGTCAGTAAACAACTTAGGAGTCCAGGCTAGAAGTCTTCTCCAGAGCTGCTTATAACTGTCCAGCTGTAACACCTCCCCAGAGCCCAAGGAGAGCTTATGACATGGTATAAGTGCCCAGGAGACATCATGAGGGCCTGAAGGCTGCAGAGATGAAACTGTAAATGCAGCATCTCCTTACCGACTTCAAGTAAGGAAGGTAGCAATGCAAATGCTTAGTGTGTTCACCTCCATAAAGGAATAGCAGAGAGATGCAGGACGGACTCATAAAAATGTCGGGGGCAAGGAGAGATGGGGCGCAGATGAAGCGATACACCTCAGTATACATCTCCTAGGATGTGGCTCTCATGCTGACCCATATAAATGGTTATTTATTCAAAAAACGTAAGATGATATAAAATTAAAAGCATGATTTAAAATCAGATCCAAAGGGATGATGCACAAAGCTGCTTAGATTGAGAAAACAGAGAGCGCAGACCCGGCAAGTGAGTGAGACGACCAGGGCGGCGGGTTCCTGAATAGACCCAGAGTGCAGGCCCGGAGAGTGAGTGAGATGACCCGGGCCGCGGGATCCTGAACAGAACCGGAGCGCAGGCCTAGAGAGTGAGTGAAATGACCCAGGGCCCTCCAGATCCTGAATAGACCCAGAGCACAGGCCCGGCGAGTGAGTGAGATGACACAGGCCGTGGATCCTCATTCCAACCAGGCTGCGGGCCCAGCACGAACCCTTCAGCAGAACTCCCTGCAAAGAGGCTAGAGGCAAGACCCACCCAGCTGATTCAGGAACAGAACATCTTACCAGAGAGATACAAACGGTTCAACTCTAAGGCCTGCAGCAGAAAGAAGTGGAGCAC